ATAGAGAGCTCGCGAGATGCATAATAGAAGTACACTTTATTATTTCCATCGTGAATGTTGTACACCTCACCATGGTATAAAGAAGTTAATGCCATTTCACAGTCCTCAGCAAGTTTGACAGGCTCAACTTTCGAAATAAAGCGTGATGGATTCCCATCTTGGCCTCCAATAATAACAATCTTGCGTATGTTGTCCATCTTATTCGTTGGATGCAGATAAATCTTTTTGCTTTTATAGACAATTGATACTCGGTGTTTAAAATGTAATACCATTTTTACGAAGTAAACAATACATTTCTTCATAACATTTGGAAAACTCACCATTGCAACAATCTAAAACAAAATCGTCAAATTTAGCGTCCATTACTCTACTTCCCACCGTCACCAGCCCATTCTTGTTCCGTGCAATGTTGGCTTTAGCAATTTTCATCATAAGTTTATCCAAAATCTTCTTTGACTCTGCATTATGCACATTGTCTAATCGTGGAACAAGACCCGATGGTAGTTCAATACTTTTATTTGACTCACTGAGTCCTTCTGTTGGAAGGAGCAAAAACACATCTTCACCATTGTTTGACACACCGTCTCTAGGAGCCAAGATAAATCTTGACATTTAAAGAATCGATTGAACTAGTCCAGCAATTACCGGTAAAACTGTAGACAGAATAGATGATAGTGTACCGCCACTTTGTCCAGAAAATTTCCTTTTTATATGCGTACCCTTAAGACCACTCGTGGATCGAATAAGTCTTCTATGCTTCCCAATTTTTCTGTCTTGGTGACTTGAAAGGTGTAACTTTTCATCAGCTAGAAGTTTGAATATCATATTGAGAACTTTAAATAATTCAGATGGAGCATTCTGTAAAATCTTGAGTCTGTCTTTTTTGCTACTAGATGATAGTTTTTCTAAAATGTAGCGGTGTTGTCTCAATGAATTGGCTTGTTTCACAGATAAACGCTTGGAAACCATTGCCACCAGTCTGCTAGCACTGTTAATTCTTCGGGAAGTTCAGGGGCAAAACTCAAAACAATAAATCCTCTGGGTTGCTTTGAACTCCTTAAATAGGCATTGGTTATCCTCTTTAAATCCTTTCCACAGAAAATCTGCCTTGCCAACGTGTTCACTTGTCTGAAATGACGCTGACTATTGAAAAGCACAAAATAATGTGCATTTGAGCTCATCATCCTGAACATCGGACAGTTTGGAAATAAGTTCTGTGTTATGTAGAAAGTGGAGATTGATCGGTGATGAGAACCGAGGATGAAGCAGTTCGCCATCTCCTTGTTATCTCCGCTTAAGATCAAGTCATCCACCACAAGGAGACTGGGCTCTGAAGTGTTCATTTTATCAAAATCAAGACCTTGGATAAAAGTAATTGCTTGTTCTTCAGTTTCATTCCATGTTTTCATAAAGTCTTGTTCAATGCTATACACGAAATATATGTTTTTAGGCATCGGATGTACTAGCTTTTGTCTTATTACCTCTAGCATGAACTGGGTTTTTCCTGCCCGAGAGGGTCCGAAAATGATGCAGTTGTGAGAAGCAAGGAATTTCACAGGCATGATTTATGTGTTGAACAGATCTTGCTGGGCTATCCAACTGTTTGCTTCACTAGGATATCCTAGAAATTTCACAAGGTATTCAGTCTGTCCGCTTCTTTTACGAGTGCTAACAATCCTCTCTATTGGCCATATACCATCAGATTTGTCAACCAATTGAATTTCACTGGTGTAAAATGAACCCTTAATTTCTTCGCCTTTATAGTCCTTCAATCCATATGTAACAGGATATGTAGTTTTCACTTCACTTACTTCAAAGATTTCATATGAAAATGTCATTTCATAACCTTTTTGAAAGATACCCTTCTTTCTAGTTATTCTAACAGAGTCACCCACTTTTAATAATGCTTTGGTGTGCTTTTTCTCCTTTACAACTCTGGGAAAAAGATTCTGTCTAACTTCCCTCTCATTAGCTAGACTTACATTGTTTGGAGCGAATAATGTGGAGCTATGTTTGGTTTTATTATAACCATCGATAAGATCCTGTAAAATATCAATCCACCTGTGAGACCCTCGAGCAGTGAAATATCTAAACATTCGAGTTTTTAGAGTTCTGCAAAATCGCTCAATGATTGCAGCTTTTTGTTCACTATAGACACTGTAGTGCTTAATTTTATACTTCTTTAGCAGTTTGAGAAATGCAGCATTGTAAAACTCAGAACCTTGATCGAATTGAATCTTTTCAGGGGTATGTAGGCGAAAAAATGGTTTCATAACTCCAACTATCGAGTTTGCACTCTTGTTTTTCATCTTGAAACCCCATGCTTTCTTGCTAAAAGTGTCTATGATGACTATTATCCACTTGAATCCATCATTGTCATGTTTGAGACTTGAAAGGTCTACAAGATCCGCTTGATAAAGATATTTTATCCTTTTGGTATAAACTCTTCTGTACAGTGTTGGCTTCCTGGTTGGCTTGTGTAAGGTATAACTATCTATAGACTTTAGTTTTGTGTTTACTGCTCTCCTGCTCACGCGTTGGTGATCTTGTTGCAATGCACGAAAAAATCGTTCTTGTCCAGCAAAAGATGCTGAAAATTTAGGATTTTCATACAGCTGCTTCAAATCCATTTCAGTTTAGCGTTGTTAGATGAGTATAAATAGAGCTCCTAAAAACATATCTTAGACATGGCTCTTTTATGTGAACACTGCAAAAAATCTTTTCCGACAAATGCCTCCTTATACAAACATAAGTATAGAGAGCACAATAAATCTAGTTTAGTACTAGTAAGTCACAATCATAAAGATATGAATAGCAATCCAAAAAAGAGGGTTTACCTTCCCGATGATCCAAATGCAGTGAGATTGCCTCCAAAAAGATCTAGGAATTACAACAGACCTGGAAGTGATAAGAAAAAATCACCGGCAAAAGATCCACAATATGATGATGGGTTAGTAGACATCGATCAGTATAAAGATCCAGGAGAAAAACCAAGAGATTCTGATCCCCGCAAATATCCGAATTATGATTCACAGTCAGATGACGGACTAGAAATTGTTGATAGGTATAAGGATCTTGGGGAGAAGGCAACAGATTCTGAACCTCCAAAGTCTCCAAAAATTAATCCACAAAATGATGACGGGTTAAAAATAGTTGATGAATACAAAGCAGATGATGAAAGCGATGATCAGCTTAGTGTTGTTGATAGCTATGATGATGATGGGCAATCTGATGGAGGTTTAACAGTTATTGATGAATATGACGATAGAGATCAGGCTAGAATTAAACCTAGTGTTGATTATAAGAAAAAATATCTGGACTGTCTCGAAGCCCACAAAAAACAGAAATCTAAGTTTTTGAAAAAGATTGATAGAATGCAGGTTTCTCATAAAAGCAACCTTGAGCGTACAAAGAGGGAATATCGAAAAGACTGTTATAACGAAATTGAGAAAATCAAAAACTTTCATCGACGTCAAATGTCTGATCTTGATGAGTTGATGAAGGGCGAGTGCAGTGATAAGATACAAGCTCTGAGGGCAGCTCACAATGAGCTCATACAGAATATGGCAAATGATCATACAAAACAATTAGATGAAAATGAAGAAGATTGTGAAAGAAAACTTCGCACATTAAATGATCAAATAAAAGCTATGCAGAAAGATGATGAAGATCTGAGTAGTTTATCAAAGGCAATATTTAATTGTACAACTATGGAGGAGATTTTTGAAATTCAAAAACTCATCAAAAACCATCAGTTGGATATCGTGGTGCAGAATCATCTTCATACCCTGCAGAATCTGTTCCTTAGTTTATCTTATGGTGTGTTGCCAATATGTCAACCTCAGCGTGAGCAGGTTACCGATGACCAAAGAAGAGTGGTAGAGAAAATACAGTCTGCCTCAGGTGCTTCAGCCAAGAGAATTCTTAAAGAGAAACACTCTGAAATTTTCAACCTGTTTACTATAATCAAGGATTCAATTAAACTTGCTCGAGATTCGTATAATCGATATGGCATCGTACCATAAAACCAAAGGTATAAAAGCAATGAAATCTTAGCACTCCCACTCTCCCAAAAATGAATTTCAATTTTTTATTTAGTGTTGTTTCTGCACTGTCCTTTGTCATTGAATTTCCAGTAAATTCAAACAACACACAGGACTACTTTTTCTTTGAGGGAAATGACCAAACAGCACACCTTTACCGTGAAAACAAAACCCTGTTTTTACATTTGAATCACAACCATGGCAAGATGTTCTCATTCCTTAACGCAACTATAAAAAGGGAAACTTTTATATTTTCATGGGAAGGATTCAAGGTAGATGAACTGGATATGTTGCTACAAAAATCTAATGGAGATGTTCAACATACTAAATTTGAACACTTTACTTTTGTTTCTCCAATCATCAACGTTTTGGACATCGAATCTCCTGCCACACCTGTTTACAATTTAGAAGAAGATGTAAATTACTGGTATTTTTTCCTTCTAACGTTTGCAGCAGGAATTTTACTTGAATCTAAAACAAAGGGGTTTAGTATATTCAAACAACTTGTACAATCCTCTAATAAAAATTTGTATGTAAGCAGAGAACTAAATTGTACCCAAGTTTTCGGAACGGAAGAGGGTGATTCTTGAACTAAATTATAACGTAGTAAATTATCAAGTTTTAAGTCCGATATTGATGTTCAATATTCTGTTACTGAATCAAAATATTTCATGAAAGTTATTTCATCGTTTTAATGTCTCACAAGTAAATTTGAACCGTGTATAATTTAACTCTCAGTTTCCGAGCTAGACAGTGGATATATTTTCTTTGATAACGCACAAATCAAACTCTGAACAATTCTTAAAACACACAATTCTTTAAAAATTTAGCACTGAATGTACTTAACGTACCCACAGCACTCGCACAACCTATGGAACTCTACAAAATTTAAAACTGAACGTACTCAATTTACCCAATAAACCTGGGGTTCTGTACAAAATTTAGCACTGACCGTACTCAACATACCCACAGCACCTGCACAACGGGGACCGTTACTGATTCAATTAAGTGACTAGTACTTTACTTATATTATATCTACTGGCGTATCCAGTATAAAAACCATAAAAACCACAAGTATAAAAACCATAAGGCCTATCCAACTGCATATCCAACATATCACAATACAAGGCCATTTAACTGCAAATTCTAAATCGGTTAACTACAGTGCAATACTTTTGCTTGTCACTTGAGCATCCTCTGGAAAACTATATGGAATAAATTTTAATATTTGATTAATAAATAAAGTCAAAATTATCTTACCTTGAAGTAGGTTTCAGATTCATTGTATTTGTTCGTGCTACCTTTTATTACGTTAGTTTCACCAGATAGCACTAAAACATTGGTTACCTCATCCTCCAAAACCTCTGCAACAGCAAACCCTAGAAAACAGTAGTTTTACTTTTTTGAATGCTGATAAACTTACCCTGTAACGACTCACCCGAGAAGCCGCGCAGCTTATAACAAAATTGATTCCATTCAATTGCATCAAGTATGATAACCATAATTAGTTTTATCTTGTTCAGCGTTCGTGAAAACATAAGGTCACATGAGCATGAGAATTCATGCTCCACCGGTAGTCCCTACACGTTTGAAATAGAAACCTGGGCCTAGGAAGACTTTTTACCGATAATATAAGCATAAGCAATAAGGTATGATAAGGCATGGTAAGGTATGATAAGGTATGACAAGTATGAAAAGGTATGAAAAGGTATCTGATCTAAAGTTCGTGCTAGTTATATATATGAAATATATTTTTGTCTGCATTAATTGATACTAAATAAAATTTTTGTTTTCTTGAAATTGTTGTTTTCTTGACAAGGTATGACAAGGTATGCCAAGGTATGATAAGATATGATAAGGTATGATAAGTTATGATAAGGTATGATAAGGTATGATAAGGTATGATAAGGTATGATAAGGTATGATAAGGTATGATAAGGTATGATAAGGTATGATAAGGTATGATAAGGTATGATAAGTTATGATAAGGTATGATAAGGTATGATAAGGTATGATAAGGTATGATAAGGTATGATAAGGTATGATAAGGTATGATAAGGTATGATAAGGTATGATAAGGTATGATAAGGTATGATAAGGTATGATAAGGTATGATAAGGTATGATAATTGATAAGGTATGATACGGTATGATAAGGTATGATAAGGTATGATAAGGTATGATAAGGTATGACAAGGTATGATAAGGTATGATAAGGTATGATAAGGTATGATAAGGTATGATAAGGTATGATAAGGTATGATAAGGTATGACAAGGTATGATAAGGTATGATAAGGTATGATAAGGTATGATAAGGTATGATAAGGTATGATAAGGTATGATAAGGTATGATAAGGTATGATAAGGTATGATAAGGTATGATAAGGTATGATAAGGTATGATAAGGTATGATAAGGTATGATAAGTTATGATAAGATATGATAAGGTATGATAAGGTATGATAAGGTATGATAAGGTATGATAAGGTATGATAAGGTATGATAAGATATGATAAGGTATGATAAGGTATGATAAGGTATGATAAGGTATGATAAGGTATGATAAAGCCGTACTTCAACTACAAGGCTGTATACAAGGCCGCATACATTATACAACGTTATAACAATAAATCGTGCAAAAAAACGATTAAAAGATGTACCTCACTGGACTTCATTTGAACGGACATTAATTGGACGCTAGGGGCCAAGGTGTTCATTTTAATTCCCGTTGAAATAAAGCCTGCTCATCACGGTTCGTCCAAATAAAAGTCCGTTAAAAATGTTCGCGAAGGTGTTCCACTTCCACTACGAACTTATTGTCCAGGATATAACTACTTTTTAATTTCGATCATTTCAAATTTCTACCATCGAACTAAATTTAACACGTTCAGCTTTGCCACTAATTGCTTTTCTTGGTCAATATTATTTGTCTACTTGAACTCAACCTAGAAATTTTGGATTTTACAGGTTTGGATGCCTTCGAGTGTTAATTTTAGTGACCGGTCAAAATTGTGCCCGTTCACGCAATGTCTGGTCGAATGACATCATATAAAATCACCGTGTTATGAAAATAAACGAAGGTAAATGAAATGTTACATCGACCCTGGCCTTATCAAGCATATGATAGACTTAAACTAACCAACAGAGTTGAGAGATTTCAAATCTGCTTTACTCTCACTTTTCTTCACAAGAGCACGAGTGAGACTCACAGCAGATTGTCTGAACTGGTCACTAATTGTATCGTTCTCCCTTAATTCTCCGAGCTCGGTTTTAGTTTGTACATTGTCCATCGTGGCAATCACATTATTAAGGGTGTCGTCTGTAATTATCGATAAGTTTACGAGATCATCAATAATTTGGACAGTTTTCTTAACGTCAAGGGAACTCATTTGCGTTCCTTGATTAGCTGTTATGGTCCTGATGTCATCTGATATAGAGTCCGCTGTTATTTTCGTCACATCATTCTGCAATATTTGATATATTTGCAACAATTTGATTTATTGTATCGGCATTGCAGAAAGAAAAAGTGCTCTTCTATGGTACAGGGTGCACCATAGAAAATGTGACTTTTTTGAGAAATGATACAAAATATTATGAAGGACAGTGCTGTACACCGCCGGCGGCGGCGGCGTAATCGGTGTAAGGTCACGTGATTCCGCAAATTCAATTGTCCTCTAGAATAATGCCATGTGGAGAGCAATTTTTAACAATCTTGAATTTTGGCCTGAAACGGCGCATTCGGCGTATAAACAGGATCACGCCGTGTGCGCCGTTTGAAAACGGCGGCGGCGGCGCGTGGCTGGACAATCGGCGGCGGCGTTCGGCGTTCGGCGGCGGCGTTCAGCGGCAGCGTTCAGCCTTGATGAAGGAGAAGTTGCTGAAAACTGAAAACTCTTCATCACATTGTGTCAATATGTTTCGAATTTATGCATACCAAGTTTCAAGTCCCAATCAATTTTTGATTTCTCGCAAATAGCTATTCTGTTATGGTGCTACCTCAGGAACTAAAGCTTCTTGTAATTAAGGGGTCTCAAGAAAAATATATTCGAAATCAACATTTTATTTGTTTTTGATAGAAAATATAATATGTATATGGTTCTCTTTACATCTAATATATGGTTCCTCTGCTACCTTACCTCAGATATTGCGTCGATTTTAGATGTAACTGCAGAAGGGCAAGAGGAAAAGTCTGTGTCACCAAAGCCTTGCTTCATTACAGTTGAATCTTTGATTGGGCTGCTTCCTGGACAGAACTTCTGAGCATAGAACATTTCCTGAAATCATTATTATTTGTCAGCAACTCGACACAAAGTCCGATCAAAGATGGCATGGCATGTAATATAGCTGCTACTAACCAGTTTTACTGTAAACTTCAGGAAGCAACAATTGTACCTGTTAGATATGAATTATGGATTTGTCAGGTACAAAAAAAAGTAATACTAAGCTACTGAAACCCAGCGAAAATTCTGTGAAATACAGGAAAGAACTAAAACGAAAAATCAACTAGCTCACAAATCACATCAATGAGCGACTAAAACAGCTCTGGCAAACTAGCTTGCTGATAGCATTAATTCCACTGACGATACAATGAAGATGTTTGAAGCTTCCAGTAAAGAAGCAGCACCAATTTCTGTATACAACTCACAGGAACATCTAGTTGCTTGTGATACAAGCAAAAAGCTACTATTATCAGGGAGTGGTTTCTTCAACACTGCAAGTGCACAAACTCTGACCCTCCTTTACTTTTAGAATCCTTCTCTGGGCCTGTTTTACCCTTGAATACACAATTTTCCAAATCCACTCAATCTTGCAAATTGTCTTAATGAGATTGAGAAGTAGCAAATAAAACATCTCTTAATTGAATTAATCAAATAGTATAAATTCGATCTCATGATTAACTTACGTCGTGGACGCAGGGTTGTACTGCGTAAGTATTTGGGTTAGTGCTCGGCCAGGTATAATCACCGTACACTGCGTTCACTTCGTCTTGTGATGGGCAGCCTGCTGTTAATACTAGATTAAATAATAAATAACAAGACAATTAAAAATTAGATGAAATGTAATTTTTGAACCAGAAATTAATGTTACGATTGGAAGGTGATCAAACTGTCAGCAGTGTGTGCTCAACAGTTGTATTATCAGTGATCCAACGAACACTCAAAAGTTTTGCACAAACTCCAAAGATGATGCAGTTTTACACTTGAAATTTCAATGATGAGAACACATTTGGGTAGTCGTAATCTTTCACAATGTTTTGGGACACAACTTTGGAGGACATTGTTGCTTCGCACCACGCACATTGTCATGTTTGCTTCGTTTTAAAGAGCAAAGATCTGAAAGGCCGGTTGGCAATGTCAATCAAGGCTAGAATTTTCAGCATTGCGTTCAACACAGGTCCCTAAGTTCGTAGCAAAAGAGAAAATGTTTGCGGTGCGCAGTTACAAAATCAGAAAACAAGTTCGATACAAAAGGAAAAGTTTTTTTTGCTTACCACATGTGTAACTGTTAGCTAGATCACAGTTATCTGAAAGAAAATGTATTTTTATTTAAAACGCAATGTCTCAGGGCCGTGCCCACAATAGCATAATTCTCAATGATTAATTTATTTAACCTTCAAAAGAAATTTGTATATGATCTGGTTGTTACTATCGATATCGGATTCGAACTTTTAATCAACAACATCCAATGGTTGCAAGGTGCAGACCTTATCAAGACCGATCCAATCCCAAAAATGTAAAACTCCACAATATGAATTAACTACCAAGAAACCAATTGATCTAGTTGAATTGGGTTAAAGGTACATAATGAAAAACCATCAGAGGAAATTTGTAAGACGTAGTTGTCACTCACTGTTAAACAACAACATCCAATGGATGAAGGTTGCAGACCCTATAAACACAGGTCCATATCGGAAAATTAAGAGACCCACTAAGGCCAAAAATGAATCAAGCCCAATGATGGTGGTTGAAGTTGAAAGAAATGTGTTAAAGGTATGAGATGAGGGATGAAACATACCTGGAACCTCCACACATTCAATGTAATCGCCCCATCCTGCGGCAAGGCACAAGACAGAGGTTGTGGTAGCGTTTCCTAGCAGTTCAGTTACACTGTCAATTATGTTAACAACAAGGTCACCCTGGAGCGTGGGAACTTTTTATTGTCAAACAACCTAAGACTAAATATGTACACGAACACCGGAGTTTGTGATATATTGTCTATCAAATTGTCTGTACTGAAGTATCGAAGAGAAAGGCTGTGGAAGGATAAAATTTAATATAAATTTCGGGATATCAAGTATTCTGAAGAGGTGAATCAAGTCTTACCGGACAGGTGAGCGTGAAAGGCACGTTACTATCTGGAGACAAAAAGTCTGAGACGACTTGTTCGCTATCTTCCAAACTCACGGTTACTCCCGCGTCCGTCAAAGTAGATTTACTACAGGCATCTGGAGAGGGAGGTTTAAAGGTTACAAAATAATAAAATGGAAGGAAATAATAATAAAATGGACATAATGAGTTGGAGTTTCGGTTTCAAACAGAAGGGTGTAAGCAGTTATTTAACAAGGTAGGGAAGAATTAAAACGTTGCCAAGGAGAACTAAAAATCAAAAAGTTATGCGGTGGCAGAGAAGGTGGCTAAGTACTGTAGTGTGAGTAAAATCTCTATAATATGGAAATATTAAAGTGATGATCAACAATCAAAAAAACTTACAAGTTGTAACTTCAACTTCAACAGGATCACTTGTCAGTACTGTTTCCGTTTCACCAACATTTCCCTCGGAGGTCATTGAAATTTTGTAGGCAACATTTGATTCTAGACCTGTAAATTTATGACTAACTGGTGTAACATTACGCTTTCTTCGTGAAGGTAGGTTATCAGCCCCACTTTCGCTGCTGGTATCATCCTCACTTTCGCTGCTGGTATTAGCTGGTACAACCGGCTCAGGGTAAACATACTCCATCACAACTGTCCATACTTCGGCAACCTTTTTGGATACCTTTAAGCGGTAAGTGAAACCTTCTTCTGGCATGAATTCCACTGTAGCAGTATTGTCAGTCAACACTATTTTTGAGGAATCTATTGGTGTTGGGAGTGTTGGTCCTGAGAGAAATTGTTCGTTTAATTTCGTATCAAAAGACTTATTTTATGGTGATTTTGGTGCCAATGGCAAAACTTTATTCCTAGTAGTGGCATAATACAAGATACAACAAGAATTTTGCTACTAACACCATTTATCCTTACCTTGAGTGAAAGAGTGTGTGGCTGTCTCGGAGGGTGTATCATCATTTGTCAGGACCGTGACAGTGAAAGTGTACTCTGTGAGTGGAGTAAGATCATCGTATGATATGGTAACTTCCTTAGCAGCACCAAAATCCTTCTCTTCGATAACTTCGGCCTTGCTACTCAGAGTATACTGAAATTGTTATGATTGTCCTGATCTTTTTATACGTGAATACTGAATAGCCAGGCTTGAGTTTGATGCAGACAAGATTGTGGTGACAGTTCAACAAAGTTGGTTATTGGTTAAGGGAGCAGAGGGGGTCTTCATAATGAATACGAATCAAGACTTACCTTGACTTTGGTGTTGCCTCCTGGACTGGTATCGGCTAACTTGATTGTCACATCGCGGGCGGTTGAGGAAACTTCAACGTCCGTGATGGTCGCAGAAGCGTGACCTAAAAACAATTCCTCAGTTTAACCAAAAATTTACATTAACTCCAAACGTGTTTCGACATATCGGATAAATATTTTGCATACATAATGACATGTACGCAAGCTTATGAGACTATTACTCTGTTTAACACTTTTAAATAAGTATCTTTAAAATGTAGAATTAAAAAATATAACATACACTATACAGTGCGAATAAGTACACATTTTTTATTAACCTCAAAATATTGTACTCTTATTTAAAACTTTGAAAAACATAAAATTACCAGTGTTGAATTCTTTGGTCATATCTCCGCCGGGTCCTTTGTCAGTGCTGGAAGATATCACAACAACATAGCTCTTGAGAGGCTCTAGGACACTGCTCCAATCGTATTCGGTCTGGCTTACAAGATCGGCTATATCTAAAACAATGTTTTATTAAGTTGGGTACGATGGAGTTATCTTTGTAATTGTATGGTGCAAACTGTTGGGAACAGTCCACGTTACAATCGCGCAATTCTTCTATATAAACTGGAAGCCAGTTCTAGAAACGAATATTAGGTTATTTTTTAGGTTATTTTAGTTAACTCTGGAGATAAGTTCCTTAAATCATAATTTTAATGATGACAAATATCAACAACAGCTCAGATGTATAGCTGTTTAGTAACGTTTATTTCTCAAACATGGAGATTATGATTCACAGTTACACAAATTAACTTACTCTTAGCATCGTAAGCTTGTTTCTCTTCACCATCCTTCTCACTTATCTTCATTGCATACACTGGTTCGTATGAGCCGATTGCAGTGATTTCTCCAATATCAGCAGGCAAAGTGTCTTTGAAAATCATAGTTACAGTTTTAGCGCCGACAACACTAATCGTGACGTCACCTGAAGAAATGACAAAAATTAGGAAGTTACGAATCAAATACATGTACAGTAAATAATAGCATTAGACGGCAACACTGTTAATAATAGCGGCTGTCAACTAGTCATACAACACATCGTGAGTTTTATCGAAATAGAAAAATAGGTGAGTACATATTATATAGCAAATACCTGCGTCCAAGGGTGGAGGTCCAACATAAAATCCAGTAACGTCTTTTTTAGTCATATAAACTACATCTTTGCTTGGATATATGATATGATAGACATGCAGTGAGAAACCATCTTTTAATTTGGCTTTCCAATCAGCATCAGAAGTAGATAGAGTGTACGGGCAATCGTAAGTATCGGAGTCTGCGTTGATAGTAGTAATGGTGCAAATTATATCACCAGTACTGTCCGCGACTTGCACTTCGTATATCTTCCAATCATCAAATCTGAATTGGTTATAAAGTTAAAATTCGGTTGAGGGAAGCGAAGAAATTTTTTCCAAACCTTTTGAAGATTACAAAATGAAGCAATAAACATGACCCATGAATACGGATGTGTTGTTTTGCATACAATGATACACGGTGTTTTGAAACAGCTGATTCCGTGATTCGTACCCGATTGGGCGCTGTCTCACAACAAAATACTTCGGGTCCCCAGTCGTAGCTTTAAGTCTGTTGTCAAGCACAGATTTTATTTTGTTGAAACTGATGGTATCTAAAAAAGGTATCCTATAGACTTACGTATCTCTGTCTGAAGGCAATACCACAGAAGCTGTAAAGGTGTACGATCCGGTTGACGCTGTTGGTGCACCCAACTTTGGGACAGCTGAAGTAATTTAATTTGTTACTGACGTAGAGATGATACTAGGCCGTTTACAAAAAAACTTTAGACTTGATAATGGCCCATGGTAAAACTATCCATAAAAATGGTATCTTGGTCCCCGGATCTTGGCTAGTCGGAGAGCGGGAACGAAGAAATCGGAGACAGTGCAGAACGTAATTTTCAAGTTGAAGAAATGATCAGGAAAAAAGCAGAGAAAAATAAACACGTCGTGACTGTACACAGTTAGGTTTTGGAAATGAAACATGTGTTGCGTGTTTCAGATTATTTTGTATTGTTATGATTGCATTGCTTTTAAGATGGCGGGGAGTATTTTTTTGGCGAGAAAAATTCTGTTCAATTTAGTTTAACTTTCGTTTAATTTTCCCTTTGGAAGCATAAATATCTAAATTCAGTTATCCGTAATGAGACATGCTTTGAAAAAGTTTGGACCGGAACTTGACATCATTAGTCTCTGTGTCCCACTTGTTTTAAATTCGTACACTTACCAGCACACCAATCTTCGCCAGCATGTGTTCCTGCCTCCTTCAATTCTACTTTTGTATTATCGTTAGGATCTGTCTTACACTCAGCATAAGACCCAATTGCTCTTTTGGTTACATCGAAAGCCATGACATAGTCGTCACTAGAACAATTAATTTCCACCTCTTCACCCCATGCAACTTTGGTTCCGGTCTGACTTCCTACGGCACTAACGATGGTGTTGGCGTTAGGGTTGGGAATCTCAGTTACCTGAAAAGATGGAGAATTACTATGCAAAATGTTTTGTCTTAAATCCATCTCCAAGATATTATTTTCACCTAACATCTATCACGCAGATACATTTAAGAACTGCATAGTGCATGTAACCATATCGGTTCAAAGTTTGTCGGTAAAACTTGATTTAGTGCAGATCAGACTTGACAGACTCGAAATCTTTTACCAGATTTGAAATAGAATTAATGTTAATGAGATGGCTATTTTAAAAGTCACTTGCAACGTAACCATGGTAACAATGGTAACAGCGGTTCTCCTCTGTACCAAAGATAAACCTATATAGTAAAATTGTGTTACAATCAACACTGTCACTACTAAAACACTTACCGAACACGAAGGGTAGCATTTCTTTAAAACTATCTCCCCTCCATTTGTTCCACATTCAGCCTCAAATATGTTATCTGTAGTTCCTTCCACTGTCATCGTTTGATCTTTACATTGGAATTGCACCTGGTAATTATCTCGTCACATGAGAGAGTACGAATAGAAAAGATTACTTTGAATAAATCATCGACAATTGCACAATGTTCAATGTTTATACATTGAATCATGCACGCGTAAAAATCAAAATGAGCAGATCCTTATAAAAATAATGTACGATAAGAGCGTCCCTTTGCTATTTCTCAAGATTATTTCATGGATGTAAATTTAGAATGTGAACTTAGTCTTTTCACTAATGCCGAAAGGTAAATAACCACTGTTTTTAAAATTCGAGTTCATGCAACTTATAACCGATCGATTGAGTCCTCGGCCTTGTTCAAGAAAACCAACCCTCGGTATGTCAAGGCCCACAGTACAATTTGAGTTATTACCTTCTTTGACATACCTTATCGGACCTTATTTGGACGGACATTACTTGAACGCTGGAGGCCCTAGCGTTCATTTTAATGTCCGTTCAAATAAAGTCTTTCAACCGGATAATATCCAGATATCAGTATTTCAAATAAAGTCCGTTCAATTAATGTCCGTCCAAGTTAAAGTCCGTTGAAATTTTTTCAAAAATTTTTCCATTTCGAACTTTTTGTCCATAATATGACAACTTTGAGAACTTTATTGCGCCGTAAGTTAACGACGGAAAGGTTCTCCTTGGTCTGCCGGAGGCACAGAAAACTTTACTAGTATATGATGTTTTCAAGGGTCACTTGGCGGAAAAAAGTCAACGAAATTATGGCACTCAACAACATAGTTCATGAACTAGTCCTCGCCAACATGACAAACTTGTTCCAGCCTAGATATTACGGTAAATCGTGTTGCCAAGGACATTGTCCGACGTTGTTATAGCTCATATTACTCAGGGGTAGTAATGAAACAGTGCTAGGAGTAGGAAAGCTCCACGTGATGTTAAGGTTAACCTTAAGTTGTCTAAGATAAAACCACTTCACGCCGAATGGCTTGTAAAAGTTAACACTGAAATGCAAAGTTATTTATATTCTAAATTAATATTCTAGATATTTTATTTTCTTTTACAACAGACGACAACTTCCTGTAATTTTTCTCTATATTAGTTACTCCTATCTTCTTGAACAGCTTTTTTACGAAGACATTGACAAATGATACCCACATTAGGCATTCATTAATGCATCTAAATTTTTCACTGCATAGCTTAGAAATTATTCTCTGGTCAACAGATTTCAAATGTTAATTAATTGAAGTATGACAGTAAGTAATAAAGACGTATTTAATTTTGCTTGGGCTATTATATGGACTAGGTATGGAGGTTTAATGATGAATATGGCATTTGAATCTATATAAATTTACAGCTATGTGGTTGGGGCATTTTGCATAGTAAATATGGTTATCAACTCATATATATCAATTATTATGATGTGGTATTCGATTTCTGATTAATTTCTCTAGGATAAGAGTATTATATCTCAATTTGGCTTTAGGTAGTGCCCCGCTAAAAGAACTGTGATTCTTCCAGGAAGCATCCCGTGCACAGAGCTTGGTCTACATATATATTAAATTATTAAACCACCATTTCTGTATGTGCACAAAAATTTATTTTCATCAAAACATGAGGAAAAACCTGTGTAGACAACGTAGGAAGAATTCATGAAACAGTGATGCTGAATCGACCTGTCACCAATTACTGCGAATCTCTTCAGTTCAGTCAGAGATGGGCATTCATATGTTCATTTGAGAGATACAAGTATAGCGGATCCCGAGATAGAATAAGAAAACCGTGGAGATCCCTGATAAAATTGCTACACTTGCCTGAAAATCATGAGAGTTCGTGGCCGACGGAAACTCCAGAATGAAACAGCGATGTTTTATCAACCGTATAAGAAGGCGAAGGGTTATCTGCCTGAACATTCAGACAATGAACCGGTGATACATCCAGAGTCTAGCATATTGACTCTTTTCCATTGGAGGTGAATGCAAATCCTCTTCACTGAAATGAACAACCCATTCACACGCACAAGTGTACTCCAAGATCCAGTTTTACAGGATACCAGACAGAGTCGGCTCACTACAAGCACTCTATTCCATAAGGGTCAGTCACTGTGCAGTACGATATATAGTTTCACCATCAGATCAATAATGGAAAGACGTGCCAGTAATTATCTTCTCTTGATTCAATGGAGCAGTTATGAAATTTGGAAAGGATCACAAAAGAGCTTGGTAAGTGGCTGCCTGTCGGAATTTTGGACTCTACAATAGGATGGACCATTAACCCATATCTTGGCATGTGGATACAAGAACCTGTTTTATTTGGGTAATAAATGATGTTATAAGACCATCTGTTAAATCTCAGCGTGAACTTTTTGCCAATTTAGTCCATCTAGAATTCAAGATTGAGCAAATTCAAGAGGCCAATCAACTGCCCAAGTATTTTCTTGTCCTCTTTTACAACTCGAAATGCTGATTTAAATAGGAAATGTACTCTTTATAGAACTTAGTCCGTCGTGAAGCTACGCCCCAAAAACATTGGTGTCCAGTCGTTGTTGGCTTTGATGACTTTCCATGACAAAAACACTGCTTACTTTGCCTAACCTAGTCCCAGGCTTTGACAGATATGGCGAACGGATTTACCTGCACCTCAATGGAAGGGAGTGGCCAAACTTGCTACTTAATTCCGTAATACTGTCCTTGTTAGATGCATGAGGGACTGATAGGAGGAAGAGGTGGGGAGGAGGACGGTAAGGTAGGTTCAACACTTTATTCTCATCCCGCCGGAGGACAGCCTCCATGTTGAAGGCATCAGCCTCCACATGAATGTTCATTAAAAGAGGTCTGTAGCCCACAGTTTAAAAAGTATTTACTTAGTCAATCTATCAATTGAAATCTACCACTGTAATTGTCCCAGTTCACTCCCTAGATGTTTTAACACCAGTGACAAACAAATAAAAAAGTTGACTTGTACTGCAATAATTGTATCCACCTAGCAGTAAACCGTTTTATAACCCCTTTAAGCTATCTGAATGAGACAATGATGACAGCACAGATGCAGATGAGTAATACGTAAAATCTCTGAGGTACTTGAAAGGCTGTGACTCTTATTCTTGTAAAAGACATAAACCGCACCTTTGCTAACGAATTACAAGTCAAAACTCACTAATAATTTAAAATCTTGATGCAACAAATCAAACTTTGAACCGCTTGCAATTGAAATAGCTAGGTTTAACTAACAAATTCTCCTGTAATATGGACTTGCTGAAAACGAATGAAGGCCCTGAATGAAAAACTTGTACAACTCACAGGCTATGAAGCAGTCTATCAAGAACCTTCGACTCGAAAGTAAAAGGCTCAGGATTAGCTCTATAATTCCTGACTCTTCAATGCTGTCAAAAATAACACCCTTCACAAGTAACAGAAAATCTAGAAACCCTCTTTGTAACTATAAGGTAGTCTAGGAAATTCTACTTCTATATAGTACTATAACCGCCCTGCCAAGTGGCAAGCTGACAAGCTCACCAAGAACTGTCGTCATACTTATAAAGCACCAAAACATACACACATTGCGTGATTTAACTATAATCTCCATAGTAACCAACAGTAGCATTAATGCACAGATATGAAGAATGTTCCTATTTAAGTAGAGGCTTCTTTCCATTGAATATCATTATCAACTCATAAAAGCCTGGATGTAATGCCTCGTGCATCGACACACATACAGTACAAATGACCTAGACTCTGGTTACTGCATCTGGAGTCATAACTGATCACATATCTCATCACCTCCCAATTATTTAACAATATAAGACTGGGAGAAATTAGCAAGACCCAAAAATATTCACAAGCACACTCAAAATTATGACTATTGTAAATCAAACAACATGATAATTTTTCGGAAGTCTTGGGTAACAAACTAGAACAAGACAATGAACCAAATATAGAATTTTAACTAACTTTCAATGATATATTTAAAAACACATTGACGAAAAACTTGCAAACTAGCTGTACCCAAAACCACTAAGCGCACTATCCAGAACACCCCATTGATACTGCGGGATAAAGCCCTCAAGTAAACCACTGGCCATGGGCTGTACGATGACTGGTGCGAAAGTCCGGAACGTTAAGTGTAAACAAAGCGAAACTGACACAAAAGGGGCACATCACTGTGTTCTATCTGCTGTAATAAAAGAAAAACCGTTATGTGATGACAAACAAAAATATAGAAAGGCTCTAAAAAAGGTTCGTAAAAAAGCTGTATCTGAATATTTATTCAGACGAAGTTACCTGAAAACTCAGGAAATTTCCAGAAAACCTGGAACTGATAAATAAAATTCGTGCAAAACAGAAACGTGATTATCAGACCTATAGTTTCCATAGAACAATGCAAGATAACTGCTCGCAGATTTATAGCTAATGAATTCAATAAGTATTTTGTATCCCTAGCATCTAAACTTAATGCAGCCTACACAAACTAGGAGAGATACAAATAAATCAGCTTCCAAGTTTCTGTGACTTCTTACCTAAAAAATTTCCCGAAATACAGCTAATTATAAACTACAGACTAGCTCACCTGAGGAGTGGCTAAGATCAACGGAACTTAAAGAATGGCAAGGCTAGCGACATACCAGTACATATAGTAAAGGCATATCATGCATAATTAGCCCACCTACTATCGGGTATTGTAAACGAATGTATGCAACACGTGACTTTTCCAGAAACGACCTAAATGTAGTAAATAAGTCAAATATATAAGAAAGAAAATGTCTGAGCTTCTTTGAAAATACAGGCCTAACTCATCTCGCAATATTTCTGTAAAAATACTTGAAAAAATCATATTTCTCCAGGCTTTAACAGTTTTCTTTCAGTCGCAAGGATTATTATATGAAAAATCAATAAGGCTTAGAAAAAATCACTCGACAAGCCATGCACTCAACTTCACTGTCGACTACATTGAAAAAATCATTTAAGAGAATAAAAATCACGTACTAGGCATCTTCATTGATAAAGTAAAGCTTTTGACAATC